CGGCATGATGGCGCCCGCACGGGCGCCGTCGCCCACTTCCCCGCTGACAACACAACGACGCCAGGCCCGTACTCGTCACGCGCAAACTCTCGAAACGTCTCACCCGAGAGATGTCTGAGAGATGTCTGAGAGTGATTCTTAGAAAGGTAATCGGCTTTAGAAAAATAAACTTCGGGTACACGAAGAAATATGCAAAGTCAGTTTGATGCGGTAACAAATTTTTTTTCTTGCACAAACTAACACTTTCGAGGATTAGGGAAGAAGCCACCTGAAGGTCGATACTCGTCCCTTCTCTTCCTTTCCGCTTGATTTTATTTATATAGCGAGCAATCAAGAGCACGACATTGCTGCTTGATTTTTACGGTAACGTCAGTTCGACATGCGCGTTCGTAACGAGGTAATATAACAAAGTGAATAATGACTGTCAAGGTTGTGTATAATTTAAGATCTGTTCTTTATTATATTACACTAGAATTTTCTTGCTTTCACCAAATTTCAGAGATGTGTTTATTTTCATTTTAAGTATGATAATTTAACTATGAACGTTAGATTTATAAAACTCAATTTTTTCCATTCAAAACCAGAAACGAAAAGAATATTTTAAGCTTTAAAATATTCAAAAGAGCAATTCATTAAAGTAAAAAATTGTTTATATGCTAACAAAAATGATAACTCATTTTCCCCGAAAAAAAACTCCTGGGATACGCCCATGCTATTGCTATTGAAGATATATCTAGATAGAAAAGATTTTATCGGTCATTTAGCGAGGTCTTGTGTCTGATTATGTTTTTGTAAATTTTATTATAATTCTTTCATAATTGCTTTCAATTATTGTTCGATCTTGAACGCAACAAAGTTGGAATTAAAGAGACATTTATGTTATTAAATCGATAATTAATTTAATTATATTACTAATGACTGTGATAAGTATCTTACAAATCTATAAAGCTATTGCAAAAAGTCACAAAAAATATATACGTCAGAAACTTATTCATAAAAAAATGCTCGCAGAAAGACTTTGTATACAAAGAACTATTCTGTTTTAACATCAAAGTCATATTTCTTATGATAAAATCAAGATGTCGACGTTTGACTTTACTGTGGAAAAGCATTTTACGTCGCTCAGAACGCGAGAAGAATCATGTATATAATCCGTCTTAATACCGAAAACTCTCGTCATTGCGTCTCCCTCGGTTCTCTATCGCGCCGCAAAATCTGATACTCTTGATAGCGAGGCGAAAGGATTTCTTAGTACAAGCCTGAGTTCCCCCCCCCCCCTCCAGTTTCCCACCCTAGAGCATCGTCATCTCGCTTGTTCTCACGTCGCTCGATCGTCGCTCTCCATTGGCGGTGTCGAAGATGCATAGCCGACGCCCCACCATCGGCGAGGCATCCCCACCACCTCGCGGCGAAGATAGCCGAGGCGAGTGCGGCCTGCGCCTTGAGGTCCGATACACTGTGCTCTACGTCACAGTGAAGTATGTGCTCCCGAGTGTAGAAAATGGCTGCGTTATCCGCCTGCACGGGTCAGCGCGGATGTAAATATGGTCTCTGGCTCGGTCTGGTGGTGTTCGTCGCGAGATTCTTCGGCGGTGAGTAGAGCGTGTGTGATACGCTATCGGCGAACCGCATCCGCATCCGCATCCGCATCCGCGATCCGTATCGTGCGCGTGTTCCACCACGTACGTGTCCTCTCGTGCGTACGCGTGTCAGTGTGTATATACGCGAGATGCTGCCGCCGATGGCAGCGAGGAAGACGAGACGCGCGAGAAAGCGCGGTGCGCCGCGTTCCGTCGCTGCCGACGAGCCGCGCGCGGAGAGAGAATCGATCGGATGCGGATCGCGTCCGTGCGACGCGCAAGAAACGTTCGCGCGACGGTCCCCGCCGTCCGTCCGCCTTCTGCCGCACAGATGTTCAGCCCGACAACGAGAGTTTTCTCCTCTTCGCTCCGTTTCTCCGCATCTTTCTCGCGGTGCGTCCGTGTGCCTCCGTCTCTTTTCCCGGATCGGGCCGCGCGACGAGATCGACCGACGGCGATCCGCCGCCTCGCGTTAACGTCGAGGATCGTTGCCCGGCGCCGCGCCCTCGATCGTATCGCACACTTTTTGCCACGATTTCGAGGAAGCACCCCTAGATACGTGGAAACGAAGCCATCGGCTCGCGATATACCCACCTCCGTGTCACTCCGCTACGATTGGTTCCGTAACCCTTATACGCCTTTTTTCCCTCTCGATTCCGCTCGATAGCGCTATACAACATTTCCATTCACGTCTCTCCTCGCAACAAAACCGCCACCGTTCTCTCGACCCGATGCGTTTTCTCTGATGGAATTCCTGCGCCGTTCGAGATGGCACGCGGCCGTACTTTTTACGTCCGGGTGAGACGAGGAGAGAAAAG